CCACAGGGATGAGCCCCTTCTTGGCTAATTATGGGTGTCATCCCAGGGCTTTCCCAGGGGAGATGGGGAGAGATGGAGCGTCCCGGCAGCCGAGCATTTTGTGGAAGAAATGGAAGCAATCCATCGTCAGCTCCAACTCAACTTAGAAAGGGCGAAGGAAGAATACAAGAGGCAGGCAGACAAGAACCGAAGGGAAGGTGAAACCATAAGGGTGGGAGATAGGGTGTGGCTGTCAACCCAAGGGTTGCCGTTCAAAGGAGGTTGTAAGAAATTAAGACCCAGGAGGTTGGGTCCCTTTGAGGTCATTCAACAGGTCAACCCAGTGGCTTTCAGGCTCCGGTTACCCAACCACATGAAACTGCACCCAGTATTTCACAGGTCGTTACTGTCACCGTACGAAGGGGACGAGAAGGGATGGCCACTCGGGGACCGGTCATAGAAGAAAGAGAATGCAGCAGCCATGTGGCAGAAATCCTCGACGCCAGGTGGAAGGGGGATCAGGTGGAGTATTTGGTAGCGTGGGAAGGAGAACCGGAGTCAGAAAACACTTGGGTAATGGCCGAAGATATCAATGACGAGGTATTGATAGAAACGTTCCATCAAAGGTTCCCAAGGAAACCTCAGCCTGTGGAGAGGTTCCGGAGGGAATACTTTGGGACCACTGATGAGGAGGAGGAGTTGGAAGGATTCCCGGACTCGGAAGGGGAAGGGAGATGGACTCTGAGGAGGAGGAGTACTTGAGACCAGGAACCGCAACAGGTGGAGAGAAGTGTTCGAGACATCGGAAGATGAAGGAAGTTCATTCCGGGGTTTTGCCTCACCGCCCGTAGAGGAGGGGGGCGAGAGGGGGTGAAAGGGGCCCTGGAGGGGAGGTGGATGTCAGGGAACTGCCATCGGAAGGAAGGGAGGTGAAAGGGCTCACACAGGTTGGGAGAGACTCAGCAGCTGAAGAGGGAACCAGTAGGGGGAGAGGAGCTGAGCTGAGGGAAAGTGAGCTGGAGGGATGGCTCAGAGACACTTCCAGCGAAAACAGTGGGGAGGTTTCAGGACCTCCTGTAGGAACACCCACTCCTCGCCGGAAACTGTCACGCAGAGAGTCCAGAAGACGTGTTTCCGTTAAGGAGCTTTTATGTTGGAAGCGATTCCAAAGCAGCCACTGTCGGAATCTGCTAGTGACTAGAGGAGCCATGTCTGAGGGGCTCCGTCACAGACAGAGGTTTGTGGACTTGAACAAACTCTGAGGGGATACTATTTTACGCACAAGCAGCTCATCATCCCATCACAGGGGCAATGCTAATCCAGTGGATACCTAGCTAGTCTTGCTGCAGTCACATGATAGCACTGATCAAGGCAAAATCTCTGTGTGAGCCTGCAGCTGGCACAGGGATTGTACCCAATCCACCTGCCCTGCCCCATCGCCTGCCACAGTCTCACAGAAACCTCTTGCACAGCCTGCAGCATATTTCCCTATTTTCTTTTATAACCTACCTTTGCTCCAGTTGTTATCCCCAAGCTTAAGATTGGCCTCACAGGCTCTGCTCTCTGAAACGCTTTTTAAAAATCATTTTGGAGAGTATCAGGGACAGAGCTTGTCTTGTCAGTGGTGGCTTCACATCCTTGGAAATCCCTTCTCTCAGGACTTCATTCGGCAATCTCACTTTAGAGAGCTAAGCAGGTTCATAATAATAATAATAATAATAATAATAATAATACTTATACCCCGCCCATCTGGCTGGGTTTCCCCAGCCACTCTTGGTGGCTTCCAACAAGAGATTAAAAATACATTAAAACATCAGTCATTAAAAACTTACCTAAACAGGGCTGCCTTCAGGTGTCTTCTAAAAGTCAAATAGTTGTTTATTTCCTTGACATCTGATGGGAGGGCATTCCACAGGGTGGGTGCCACCACTGAGAAGGCCCTCTGCCTGGTTCCCTGTAATCTCACTTCTCGCAATAAAGGAACTGCCAGAAGGCCCTCAGAGCTAAACCTCAGTGTCCGGGCAGAACAATAGGGTTGGAGACGCTCCTTCAGGTATACTGGGCCAAGGCCATTTAGGGCTTTAAAGGTTAGCACCAACACTTTGAATTTCCCCTGTCTTTTGTTTGATCTGTTGCAGACTTTTATTGTTTGTTTTATTTTGCAGGGTTGGCTTTTTTTTAGTAATTTATTGTCTGATTTTATTGTAATATTTTAATTGTTCACTGTCTCATGATAGCAACAAACAAGCTGGATATAATGCATACACAGTTGGAAGATATTCTAAAAAGGAGTTTTGCTGCACTCTCTTTTGCAGTTGTTAACCCAGGCAGACATACTGTGTTATTTCTGTAAATCACCACAACTAGACTTAGTTATCATGAGATTTGGACTCCTTTTAAATTTGCTGTATACTTCTTCTTTTTTAAGCATCACAGGCTAATTTGAAATATTAGCGATTGATTGGTTTTACTTAAGGATTTCATAGAATCATAGAATCATAGAGTTGGAAGAGACCACAAGGGCCATCGAGTCCAACCCCCTGCCAAGCAGGAACACCATCAGAGCACTCCTGACATATGGTTGTCAAGCCTCTGCTTAAAGACCTCCAAAGAAGGAGACTCCACCACACTCCTTGGCAGCAAATTCCACTGTCGAACAGCTCTTACTGTCAGGAAGTTCTTCCTAATGTTTAGGTGGAATCTTCTTTCTTGTAGTTTGGATCCATTGCTCCGTGTCCGCTTCTCTGGAGCAGCAGAAAACAACCTTTCTCCCTCCTCTATGTGACATCCTTTATATATTTGAACATGGCTATCATATCACCCCTTAACCTCCTCTTCTCCAGGCTAAACATGCCCAGCTCTCTTAGCCGTTCCTCATAAGGCATCGTTTCCAGGCCTTTGACCATTTTGGTTGCCCTCCTCTGGACACGTTCCAGTTTGTCAATGTCCTTCTTGAACTGTGGTGCCCAGAACTGGACACAGTACTCCAGGTGAGGTCTGACCAGAGCAGAATACAGTGGCACTATTACTTCCCTTGATCTAGACGCTATACTCCTATTGATGCAGCCCAGAATTGCATTGGCTTTTTTAGCTGCCGCGTCACACTGTTGGCTCATGTCAAGTTTGTGGTCAACCAAGACTCCTAGATCCTTTTCACATGTACTGCTCTCAAGCCAGGTGTCCCCCATCTTGTATTTGTGCCTCTCATTTTTTTGCCCAAGTGCAATACTTTACATTTCTCCCTGTTAAAATTCATCTTGTTTGTTTTGGCCCAGTTCTCTAATCTGTCAAGGTCGTTTTGAAGTGTGATCCTGTCCTCTGGGGTGTTAGCCACCCCTCCCAATTTGAGTGTCATCTGCAAATTTGATCAGGATGCCCTTGAGTCCATCATCCAAGTCGTTGATAAAGATGTTGAATAAGACCGGGCCCAAGACAGAACCCTGTGGCACCCCACTAGTCACTCTTCTCCAGGATGAAGAGGAACCATTGATGAGCACCCTTTGGGTTCGGTCAGTCAGCCAGTTACAAATCCACTGAGTGGTAGCATAGTCAAGACCGCATTTTACCAGCTTCTTTACAAGAATATCATGAGGCACCTTGTCAAATGCCTTGCTGAAATCAAGGTAGGCTACATCCACTGCGTTCCCTTCATCTACCAGGCTTGTAATTCTGTCAAAAAACGAGATCAGGTTAGTCTGACATGACTTATTTTTCAGAAATCCATGCTGACTGTTGGTGATCACAGCATTCCTTTCTAGGTGCTCACAGACTGTTTGCTTAATGATCTGCTCCAGAATCTTCCCTGGTATTGATGTCAGACTGACTGGGCGGTAATTTCGATACCGCTTCCCAACTTGTTCTGTTCTTGTAGTATTTAACACTGGTTAAATTGGCAAAAATGTATAAAACAAGGGAAAATAAGTGTTGGAAATGTAAAGAAGTAGAAAGTACATTTTATCATATATGGAGGCAATGTAAGATTATTTTTTTAAAAATTGGGAAATGATATGTAACAAATTGAAAAAAATGTTTAAAATAACCTTTGTTAAAAAGCCAGAAGCCTTCTTATTAGGTATTACAGGAATGGATCTACCTAAAGAATTGAAGAATCTGTTCATGTACACAACAACGGCCACTTGGATATTGCTAACCCAAAACTGGAAAGAAGAAGAAGTCCCCACCGAGGAAGATTGGCAAACTAAGTTAATGGAATATGCAGAAATGGCTAAACTAACTGGGAAACTTAGAAATCAAGACGATAACAAATATAAAAAAAGAATGGGAAATGTTTACTGCATATATAAAAAAGCATTGTATGGAAGTTAATACATTAGCAGGATTTTAAAAACACTTGTAATGTGACTTCGATTAGAAATTTTGAACAGGCAGTGGGAAACTTTGAACAGACAGTGGGAAAATATGTGGAGCCCACTCAGGATTTAAATCAGGAGTGTGTCTTGACAGAACAGGAGTTTTTGACATTAAATCAGGAGTGTGTTTTGACAGAACAGGCCCAACAGGAACATGATTTTTTGGATTTGACAAATGAACTTGGAAAAAAGCCATATCTGGAAAGGAAAAGTTTGGCTTGGTTTGGAAATGGGGGGCTGGATTGACCCCCCTATGCTGGGATGTTTGGACTTTTCAAATATGGCAACGGGCCGTGAGATGTTTGGGACTGTGGGGCCTCTCAATTTTGGAGGGCCTTTGAAACATGCTTTTAAATACTACATGGAATTCATTGTTGAACATGGAAAAGGGGCTGATCTGTTGAGAAGGGTTAAAAACATTGTCAAGCTGGAGTTACCACGAGCAAGAGACAAGGGAAAATACAGTTAGAAATATGAAGAAGAGCCGCGGAAGGGTCATGGAAGAGACGAGGGCCTCGGATATAAGGTTGCCAGGTTAATGGGCTAGATTG